TCACTTGACTGAACAGTGTTCTAGAGTAGTAATTGGAAATACAGAACTTAAGCCTCACTTGATATTTAATCTGATAAGTTTATTACAGCACAAAGAGAAATAGAGGTAGGAAGATTATGTTGTAAAAATTTTCCAAGTGTGGAAAGTCTGTTAAAGATTAAATTAAAGTAATTTAAAAACTTTTGCTTTTTAAATAGGTTTGAATGACCACCTCAGGCAAAGATGAGAAAATAATTGCAACTTCTTTAGTCACAAAAAAAAAAACAGCTAATAAAAAAAAAAAAGTCATTTCATTACCACAAAGATCATTAATAATAATATTTTCTCTATTGAGAACTTTTATTCTGTGAAATTATTGATTCAATATCATTTTTGTTAGAAAAGAGTGTGCTGAAAAGTTCTCAGCCTGGCCCACTTTCCAAAATCTAACCAAATATCAGAAATATTCTTTTAATCTATTCTTGGTAAATCCAAAAGTCTACAGCAGCTTTTCTTACAAATTTATTTTGATATTAAAAGTATGGCAAACATGGACCTTTGTACCTGCAAAAAAAATTGTTTTTCAAAAGGACGGTTTTTCCATTGACATTGCTATTATTTTAACTACATTCACTTCCTAGACAATGTTTATTTACAAGATTATAAAAAATGATTTACCTTTTATAAAGACTTATTATTTACTATTTCATAAAGAAATAAATGTGAAAACACATTTTTTTTAAATTATCAAGGATTTAAATCTTTTTCAAAATTGTTTACAAAAATGAATAGGAAGAGGGTTAACCTATAATTGCTGTAGTTTCATGTCTTGGATTTCAAGATCATAATTAAAAAAAAAAAAATTGAAAAATTAAACCAAGAAGTAATCTGAGAAAAAAAAGTATTATGTCCTTAAATTATGTTTATTCAAATTTTGTTTTATAATTGATATAAATTATAAATAAAAACCTTGTTTTCATAGTTATTTATAAAATAGTAAATAAATAGATTGGAGATGGTTTATATTTAGATTGTAAATTGATTTATTTTTTTTTAATTTTTGAGTAAAAAGATTTCTTTTCACATTTATTTATTTACTAGCTTATTAAAAGCTAGCTCCTGCGGATGGATCTTGATTAGGCCTTTGGCATTTTCAGGAATTTGAGAGTCCTTGAGTCTTCATAGGTTCTCAGCATTGGAAGTTCTCCTGGCTGCAGTATGAGCTGAATTCTCATTTGCACAAGACTTTCTTTTCCTCACTGCAGCCTTGGCTCTTTTGATTTCAATCTGGTCCTCTATTGAGGGAGATTTCTTTTTACAAGGCATATTACTGTCATATGTAATAGGCAGCAATAAACTACAGAGGAACTCAAAATTGATTGCTGCATTTAAGTATTGCCTTAAGATTTAAGCTTACTTTTTAAAAGATCAACAATAATTCTTCTGCTGCCACTTAATTTAAAAATAATTTGACATGCATAGGTCCTTACTTTCCAAAAAAACAATTATTTTTATTTCATGGGTGATTTCACTGAATTTTACAATTAATTTCAATTATTCCAAAATTTATTTCCAAGTTATAAAAATTGTTATCACACAAAAAAATTTGTCACAAAAAGTCACATAAAAAAAAACACGAAAAACAATCACAGTAATTAAAACTTGGGAATCAAAAATTTCTGTAAACCTGAGCTATTGAAAGTTAGAGAGTTGTGTCCCTTTAATTGAAAAAGTGTGACATACTGACATTAGCATTTATTATATAGAAGGAGATGAGCTATTGTGAGTTGTGTCCCTTTAATCAACATTTATTATATAGAAAAAAGGTAAAAAAATTTTTATAATTTTGTAAATATACATTGCTGAGCTAGTGAACGTACTAAAATGATAGCCATGTCACTGGAAAAACCACCCTTTTTGAAAGACCCTTGAAAGGTCCATTTGCCAAAAGCATTTGCTTGTATGACTATTTTCTTTCACACAATGTTACATTCCTTAAGGCTACCAGTTTGGCAGATCTTTACAGTCAAAACCTGCCATTTCACAAGCCCAGGGTCAGATCCTCCACATTCCCATTCTATTTCATTAATAAGAAAGAATTTCTATTTGGACAGCTTTTTCCCAAGAATTGCTACTTTGTGGAACAGACTCCTGAGAGGATGCCTTCCTGACCACTACAATCTTAACTTCTTCAAGTCTAGAATCAACCATTATGTATTTTACATATACTCTGGACTTGCTTCCTTCTCTTACATCCATGCAATAACCTCATTCAGTAACCTTAAGTGGCTCTTGGACTTTGTATTGGTTGAACATTGAATAAGAAAAAGTCTGTCCCTAACTAATACAGTTATTTTCCCTCTTAATGGTCAGTTCCAAGCAGCAGCAGCAGCAGGCTTGTCTCCCTTCCTTTCAACATGCCCAATGAACCAAATATTGGCTGGTTAAAATTTATCTTCCTCACTTTAACTTCTGATGCCTGGGAAACTTTTACCACTTTAACTTCTGATGTCTGTAGAGTTTATGCCACCTCAATTTCTTCAGACTGTAATTAATTTCTACTGGAATTTTCATTGATCAGTCTCCATAATAATAATTCTGTGTATTTGATTATTTGTGCTTCTTTCCTATGAAACAAAATCAAAATATTACACACATAGTTACCCCAATGTACCTTAGATTAAGATAAAGATTGACTTGGTATAAAATGATCTTGCAAAGATAATGATACAACTCTGACTGCTTCTTATATAAATGCTCTTTAAATTACATATATACAACAACAAATAGATAAAGAAACAAAAGTAACAGAAAACCCATACATATTTGTAGGTAATCAATAATCAATTATCAAGCAATAGTCATAGGTAGTTTTTTTTCTTTGCTTTATATATTTCAATGTTAATTTACATCATCCTCAGGTTCTTCTGGAAATGGTCCAGCCAAAACAAATATCCTAGCTAGGGCAATGTCATCTTAGTTTCCTTCAAAGTATTCCAGTATTCCTTCCACTTCTAAAAATACTTTGCAAACCCCTCTTTTGGGATTGCCATCAGCTGTCTCATCACATTCTCCTTAATTTTGTCCATGGTTTTGAAATCTCTGTTTAATAGAAATGATGTGCAATGTTTGACAACGCTTGGTGATGGGATGTTTTGCCGAAGAAAAAGAAAAAAATAATGAAACTTCATTGATCTCCTTGCTTGATAATTATGAATGCAACAGTCACATAGTACACAAGCTCACTCAATAACATCTCACTGCTGACTGAGTAACCCCACAGTAGTGTATCTGTTTATATATGTGCAGCACAGTCTCTTCTGATTGCTAAATTATATCAAAACCCTTCAACTGATCAGCTTTTGTTCACTCATCTGAGATTGTCTTAAATGGCTCTCTGACAGGAAAACAGCACAGGGATTTGAATTCATGCCTTTTCTAAAAGCATTAATGTTCAATGGCATAATCAAGCTCAGCTGAAATTTGAACATTATTGATTCCATTTTCTATTAAAATAATTTATCTGTCTCTAATATGCTTGTTTTCTAAAGGCATTTGGGGGACTTCTTATCAAATTCTCCTGGCTGTTGGATTGGATTTAACCATGTCATGTCACACCATGTCAGTTGTCTTTCCTTGATATTTTCTTACTTGATCTCATATTTAAACAATTTCTTAAAACTTAACTATAGCTTGAAGAAGTAGAGATATGTTGAAATTAACTGTTAAAAAATGTGCTATAATAATTATAAAACTCTGGTTAACCTTCTGATGCCTCAAATTATGAACCTAATCAGGAAGAGGCAGCTGAAATTTCTGGGACACATAATGAGAAAGGATGGCCTGGAGAATATAATACTCACAGGTCGAATAGAAGGAAAGAGAGACAAGGGAAAACAACACATGACATACCTGGTGGGCTTAAGCAAGTGGATGACAGAACATGGTCTGGGTGAGGTGGACAAAACTTATTGAGAGCTACAAGGGATAGAGGGAAGTGGAAAGCTATGATTGCCTATGTCCTGAAAGGACACGGCACATAAAAAGAAGATAATTAGTCATTAATCGACTCCAAATTTGTTAAGCATTTCATTTCACACAACCTTCTTTCAGATAAACAATATGGCTTTCGCTTCTCTAGGTTAATTGCCAATGTGTTAATGCTTATTACTGAATTTGTCTATAAAGTTTTATATAATGGTGTTGTAACCTAGGGAACTGAATAATCAAATGAAGGTTGGTAATGAATGATAATACTTAGGACAAGAACAACACATATAAGATTTGCCAGTGGTGTATAAAAGAAGTAGTCAATTGCTAGAAGTGAGTCAAGTGAATTCCACAATGAATCTCCAACTGCAGACCAACATACAGTATTTAGTACTGCATTTATGTGGATGGGGACATACCCATTATTGTCAGTAGGTATGCTACAACAAATGGGGAGGCTCAGGCTGTGGCTTTAGATCTCTCAAAAGTCAGGTATGCTGATATTCATCACATGCTCAAAGTCTATGTTTCTTTGGCTGCATATTTAACTTATCCAGTCTTTTTTAAATGGTGTAATGGGAGCCTTAAGCCAAAATGAATTCTTTTCCATTAGGAATCTACCATAATACTTTGAATGCAAACCTTGAAGGTAAGAGTTTTGACATATGGTTAAGTTTTTCATTTGATGTAAGCAAATTTTCTTCAAAATGAGATAGATTGGCTTGTTTTCAAACTTTTTCATTGTTATAAAATAATTTCACCTAAACAATTTGTTGAAAATTGATTACCTACAAGTTTTGGGGAATTAACTCAATTCTTTATGCCTTATTAAGATTTACAATTGCTTCCCTTCAATGTTGTTCTCATATCTCAAACAGAAACCAAATTTCAACTGTCTGTAATGGGTTAATATATTCAAAAGGTTTTGAGAATCAATTTAAAAAAAAATACTCCTTCCCTAAGGTTCATGGGAATGAAAAGTGATGACTAGAATGAGAATTACTGATGTGTATGGAGGGAAAAAAAGACATTTATTTCCAGGCCCAGGTTTTCTGGAAGATCCACTGTTGCATTTTATTTAGTGGGTTACATTTTCGAAGATAGAGTTTTGTATTGATTCCAGCCTCAACACATTTTCTTAAGTTACTGTGGAAGATAGACTTTAATTTCTGAAAAAAGAAAAAAAAAAGCATTAAAACAAATTAGAAAACAATTTTTTATAAGAATTAAATGAATATATTTAGTGAGGGCATTTCCAGAGACTGCAGAATTTTCTAGATTAATTGATTTTTTTTTTAAAGCTTATAAACTTTTTGCAGGTTATTTAAACCAGAAAATATTTTTAGACTCTAAAAATTTTGTGGGGATAATAATGATTTATTGATACAAGTTTTACTAATTAACCCATAGCTGAGGGGAAGAAGAGGTGGATTCATACCTTTCCCAAGGGTATTTGCATGTAAGTGAATGTAACAAACATGACTGGAATTAGGACTTGACTCCTCGATTTTCAATTCTGAGCTATTATCACCCACATATCCAAGCTTACAGCACCTGGTATTTTCAGGTGGTCACCCATCTAGGTACTGACCAAGCTCAACATTGCTTAACTTTGGTGATCATATGAGAACTAGTGTTTCAACACGATAAGGCTGTAAGCCAGAAGTTCCTAGAGATGCTATGCAGAGTAACAGTAGCTTCCAGAAATGGCATGCATATGAGGAGTTCCCAAAGACAGTGGACACAGTGAAGGGTTCACAGAGACTGCGCACATTGTGAAGACACATATAGTGAGGGAGTTCCCTAAGATGACAGGCATAGTGAGGGAGTTCCCAGAGAAGAACATGCATAGTGAGGGTTTTCCCAGAAATAGCATGCATATGAGGAGTTCCCAAAGACAGTGGACACAGTGAGGGGTTCTGAGAGACAGTGTACATAGTGAAAGGTTCACAGAGATTGCACACATTGTGAGGACACATATAGTGAGGGAGTTCCCTAAGATGACATTCATAGTGAGGAAGTTCCCAGAGAAGAACAAGCATAGGGATGGTTTTCCCAGACATGGAATACATAATGGAGGAGTTCCCAGAGATGGAATACATGCATGCTTAGCACTTTCATTTGCATCATTTTTTCCACCAAAAATAGAACAAGGGAAACTCCCCAGAGATGAAACAGCATAAGTGAAAAGTAGTTATTAGTTATAGTAGCATATGGAGGACAAAATGGAGACAAGGTGCAATTTTCAAAAAGGGGGGATATTACATAATTTAACAGATGAATTAGAAAAAATGTTAATCATTATCCTTTGGCATTGAATATGTTAACAAACAACTCTTGAAATTATACACTTAACGATATGTTCTAAAAATTCAGAAAATGTATTTTGAAGAGTGCGGAAACGTTATTGGCCCAGCCTACTTCTCAAAATTTAACTAAACATTAAATTGCTTTTACTTTTTTTTTGGGGGGGGGGGTACTGAACTTTTCAGCACTCACTTCACAACCTTATCTTCAGTTGTTTTTCTCCATGCCAGAGTTTGTAAATACATCATTGCCATCATAATAATAAAGTATAGTTTTAAGTTATTTAAAATTTTGTTATGAAATATGATTTCCTTCATATTTCTTCAGTCCAGTAGTAGTCATTAATCTCATATATTGTATTCTGCCACTCTTCTTACTGCTTGGGCACTTATATAGCCACTATGCCTTAGCTATGTTAATTAGGCAGTCATTTACATATCACTACTGACGTAAATCCTTTACATATGAAGTCACAAAGACTATAAATATCTACAGCTATTACCCATGAAGCAGTTAAGTACATACTACTTCCCATGAGTAGATAACATTACATAACAATTGTGTCACCAAAATCTAACAAACAAACAATTATCACTTGATAATTATGAATACGCAAAAGCATGGCTTAGGATACCAACAGTTAAAGCTAGGACAAAAATGCCAAAGGATTTAAAATCAGTCGAAGGAGAAAACTGAATAACTGATCTCATCTTGGCAACTGCTGATTGCAAGGCCATTATAAAATTGCAATTGACAGTTGGAGGAAATGATGTTTGATGATATAAGTCAACTAGAGAAAAACATAGCACCCAAGAAAAAAAACTAGTGAATGCAGGGAGAGCTAAGTTTATGAATATTTCTCAAAACATGAATGAACCAGTTATTGAATTTGTTCTTCATTTAAAGAATGCCACTCAAGAAACTAGGATAGGAAAATCAGTCAATCAAAGATGATTTGTTCCAAATGAAATTGATGAACATCCTTCAAAATGAGGACTCTTTGCAAATGACTCTAATGACAACTGGAAAGTGTGTCACTAGAACAGTGTGTTGAATTTTTCAGCCTGAAGAATTAATCACATATTTGTTTTTTAACTTTTTTATATATTTTTTTAAACCTAAATATTAAATTTTTCAATTAACTCATCTTGTATGAAGTCAATACAAGCTTCTAAAGTTATTTAGTTTGTCTGTAATCGCTCTAAAATTTTTACTCTATGAGAGGTATTGTAGAGTCCTTCTACCAATCAGAATTGGATTAATTCTTCCTCTGTGCTTTTTCCTTGTTCTCCTAGTTCATGAAATTCACAATATCTACTGGTATCTCTTAACCTTCTTAGATATTTCCTTATAGGCTCCCCAAATTCTTGTTTCAATGCTAAGAATTTGGTTCATTCAGCTATGACCAATTTTTCTTTGATTGAATATTTCTCAATATTATTCATTGACTTCCTTAAATGTCAATTTTTCAATTTCAGCTGGATAAGTCATTAATGAAATCTGCCTAATGGCTTCACTTCCTGCAGTGACCAAAAATAAATCCATGATTTCTTCCTGTTCTCCTGTTTGGTCATCTCATAACTTCTTTATTATGGCAACATGCCTCTAAGCATTTTATCCAAATCTTTGTTTTCAGGTTCTTCTGTGATCAACAGAGCTTCATCAGGCAATGCCACTTTGTTATGATGATCAAACTTAATCCAAGTTGCCTGTGAGCAATATTTATAGTTCTCGTCATGCTAATTACCTATTAGCTAAACCAATCCCATTAGGCTAAAAAAAAATTGTTATTTTTGCTTGTGTTAAAAATTACATAAAGTTTCTTTTATCTGACTTACCTTTGAGTATTTCCAAGGACCAACAGGTTGGACATCACAGAACTGTATTTGTAATGTATCATATTGGGCATTAATACATCTCTCCCCTAAAGCAAGCTGACCTTTCTCATTTAAACGAAACAGCTGCCAAGAAAAAATTGGATAAAAAAAAGAGAAAAGTTTTATTTATTTGAAATAACTAAGAAGCTGAATAAGTGAAAAATTAATTACCATTGATTTTGCAATGACTGCAGAAAAGTATTTTAATTTTGAAAAGCGTGCCTAGGTTTTTGACACTTTTGCAAGCTGCTTTGAGTGCCTACAAAGAACTATACAAATATGACAGAATATGTCAGGCTTGAACAAGCAGTCATATTAGTTAAACTTTCCATATTAGCCACAGCAGATGATTTGGTTGGTCGTTTTTGTTTAGTGGCATATCAATCTCTATAGGTTATTTAATGCCAAAATTTAAATATTTTGTACACATTTTTTTTGATGATAATAATGCTTTTACTGATACAAATCTTATTAATTAACCTATAGCTGGGGGAGAAGAGGTGGATTCATACCTTTCCCAAGGTATTAAAAGCATTAATGTTCAATGGCATAATCAAGCTCAGCTGAAATTTGAACATTATTGATTCCATTTTCTATTAAAATAATTTATCTGTCTCTAATATGCTTGTTTTCTAAAGGCATTTGGGGGACTTCTTATCAAATTCTCCTGGCTGTTGGATTGGATTTAACCATGTCATGTCACACCATGTCAGTTGTCTTTCCTTGATATTTTCTTACTTGATCTCATATTTAAACAATTTCTTAAAACTTAACTATAGCTTGAAGAAGTAGAGATATGTTGAAATTAACTGTTAAAAAATGTGCTATAATAATTATAAAACTCTGGTTAACCTTCTGATGCCTCAAATTATGAACCTAATCAGGAAGAGGCAGCTGAAATTTTTTTTTTGTTTGTAAATGAATATAACAAACCCAACAGGAACTGAGCTCTCCAATTAACAATTCCGAGTCATTATCCATTACACTGCCCACACATCCAAGCTTACATCCAAATTGGGTAGACATTAATGGTTGTACTAGCAGGAAATCCCAAGTCATCATGACCAAGGGTTTGAGCATATGAGCATTTTTCAGTTGTTGATCATTCTAGATTGTGCACTCTCTCCCAGTGGGACCTAGATGCCAATCTAGTAGCACATTTAAATTCATGTCATCAGAGCACCAGGGAAAAAAAGCTTATCAGAGTAGTAGGCATGAAAATATTTGTAGAAAAAACAGAGGGAAGAGACATCATGTCTGTGTGAAAGTGACTGAAGTTGAGATATCAAGCCAAGATCAATTACATTGCAGATCCTTCTTTGGATTTTGTCAAGAACCACAGGATGAACAGTAAGGGCACCAGAGCAAATGTGGCAACAGTATTCAATGCACAGACGAATGGTAGATTTGTAAATGTGTAAGATTGACTCTGACAAGAAAAACCTTCTGGCATGATACAATGAACTAACATTGCTTGCAGTAGATGCAGCTATTGGTTTAATATAGTTGTTCCACTTCAAGTCAGTTGAAAACATGAAGCCAAGGAAGCAGAGAGATACTCTTCTGGAGTTGATTATCAGCCATACTGATGGTAGGCAGAGAAGTTTCTCTATGGTGGCTAAATGAGAGCAGTTTAGTTTTGGAGGCATTTCAAATTTACAAGTCATTTCTTGCTCCAGTTATCCACTGATTTTCAAGAGCAGTGGCTAGGTTAATTTTGTCAACTTTGACAGATTTGCTATTGAGACAGGAGGTGTTAGTGCAATGATATGGGCTGGAATTGTCAACTAAACCATTGTTGAACTATTCACAGTCAATGAAAAAGTTAAAATGGACAGTGCTAATTATTGCGATTTTATGAACAAAACTTTCTTTGCATAGTACAAGTCCTAGTCTCAAAGTGAAGTACAACAATGCTCCTTCTGATGTATCTAAGCTTACCCATGAATTCTTTGAGCATAAAAGATTTACAATAGAGAAAATAATGAAATGGTCACCATAAAGTCTTGATTTGAATCTAATTGAAAATCTTTGGTCACTAGTGAAGATGAAACTATATAAAGGTGGTAAGCAAAACAGACCTATGGGAAACAATTAAAAACTACCATGCCTGAAATTGAACCTGCTGAAGTAAAAAAAATTAACAAAATCAATGGATAATAGATTACTGGATATTATTGAGAAGAAGGGTCACTATATTAAAATGTAAAGGCTTTAAAGACTTATCATATGTGTTTGTTATTTGCTCTATTATAAGTGTTGATCAATTTTTGATGATTTTATTACCTTTTTATTGAAGTAAAATATGATTATTTGGTTTTGCCTAATAACTTCAGATGATAGTTTTTTAGAGTACATTAAATAACTTCAATAAAACATATTGATACTACCTAAAATTTTAACTCTGGCTTTGTTTTGACATCTAAATTGATTTCTTTAAAATTTGAATAAAATTGAATATTTTTTTCAAACCAAATACGAATTATTGAAATTTATATTATTTGCTTAATAACTTCAGACAGGATGTATATATATATATATATATATATATATATATATATATATATATATATATATATATGAAAAACCAAATTACCCCATTCAGATGGCCATTTCACCCCCAGGAGATTCTCCCTTGGACTTGTCAATGCAAATACATTTGTTAAAGAAATGAATTCTCATGTTTCTTTCTTTTAAGAAATTTGAAGAATAAAAATTAAGGAAAGAAGGAGAGAAAAAAGGAGGAGGAAAAAGAAAAAAAAAAAAGAGGAACAAACAATATATAAGGGAAATAGGATTTATAAAGAGATAGAGGGACAAAGAAACTAAGGTGGTTAGGGTGGGAGTGACCGGAACAAGCCTAGACAGAAAAAAATGATGGTTTAAGATGAACAAAGACCTTAATTTAACATATTAACTCTTGTACAAATGGGGAAAAAATTCTCATAAAAAATTTACATAAAAAAAGCAAACATAAAACTTAAAAAGGAGTTTAAAAAAATTATAGATTAAGGAAAATATGAATTTAAAATTAATACTGTTATGTAATCATTGTATAAAATATTTTGAATTATTAAAAAAATTTTAATACTAATAACTCATCATAAATTATTATATATTTATATCAAATTATTATTAGAAAAATTTAGTAAGATAAATGTATACCCCCACCAAATTGTAAATATTAATTTAATTACTTATATATTTAGTCTAATATAATTATATAATCTTAACACTTTAATATTAAGTAAATTTAGAAAATTAATATTAACCCATTCAATACTATATATTTAATTATATAGTAAAAATAGATAAGTAAATTATTGATTTATATTATTTTTAAATTCTATTAATCTTAATATATTATATAATTATATTATATTCATAATATTTAAATATTGAATTTATAATTTTATTATTTATATCATATTTATATTAATCATTTTAATATTCTATTAAGGATTATATTTAAATTCAATATTATAAGAAATGAATTAAATATTATAATAAACAAAATTTTTGGCATTTTTTGTAAACAAGAAAAACCTGAATATAAAGAATAATAAGATGAAGGAAGAGTTTAAAACAATTTGATAAATAAAGCCCAAAATAAAATTTAGCTATATAAGGAAAACATTTTTAAATGGATAAAACAAGTCAAAACCTAGATTAAAATATATTAAACTTCAAGATTAAATAAATAAATTTTAGAATAAAATATCAAGGATCAGATAGAATAAAAGAATAATAAAAGTTCCAAAAATAATTTAGATTAAACAGATAAAATTTATATATATTAAATTTTATATATAATAAATTGAGCTCTCTTTTGGGGACAAGTTTTAATATTTTATATTAATAGGATCTACTTGGATTACTTACCCACAGATTTTTACACACACACACACACACATATTAGTTCAATAACCAGGTAGGCAATGACTGGCCACTACTTTAAATTTCATGTGTTTGCACATAATCTTCAGGTAACTAGTAACTTGCAGTAATAAGATGATTGCCTTATTTACCACCAGACAAATACAATTTGTAAGCAAATCAAACTCACACAGTGGGGAGGGTAGATCATCCAGCCAAGATATAAAATGGCAAAAAAAATTTCAACCTGGAAAGGTTTGCCAGTATAACAAAAAGCACTCAATAACAAGAGAAACTGGTGTCATGGTACAAGAGCTAAAACATTAAGCCCCAAAAATTGCTCAACAGGACCAGACAATCAAATTCACATTAGAATATATATGATTCCAAAGTTTCAAACCTTGGAATTATATATATATATATATATATATATATATATATATATATATATATATATATATATATTATATTTAGTATTTTTTTCATTGATGCATGTTTCATTAAATAATATAGACAAGTTTTGTCTATTTATTTTAAACAAATTCCTTTCATATTGTCTGATAAGCTTAATAACATTATCATTGAAGACGACAAAGAAAATCACCATATTGATGCATGTTTTTTAATCCTATCTAAGCTTTCGGCTTACATAAGCCATCATCAAAGATGACAATTACATTACAATAAATTAAATAATACACGGACATAACAACAATGATAGTCTGTTTTGTTTGCATGGACGATTTCCAAAACATTTAAAAAAAACATGTATCAATATGGTGATTTTCTTTTGTCTTTCAATGATAATGTTATTAAGCTTATCAGACAATATAAAAGGAATTTGCTTAAAATAAATAGACAAAACTTGTCTATATTATTTAATGAAACATGCATCAATATATATGTATATATATATATATATATATATATATATATACACACACACACAGTGTGCATCTTTTTCTTTAATAGGATTTCTTGAATATTCAGGCTGGTAGACAAAAATAAATAAATACACAATTTAAAAAATAAACTGACCATCTACTCAAATATGAGTAACCACTAAAAATAACATTTAAAGTGATAAAATCTATTGGATTAATAAATAAAACATCTGTTACTTCTTTAGAAATTGCTCTGTTTATGCTTAGATACAAAACTGAGCAGATATGAACTTTTGAGATTCTGGGAAGGATTTTCACTTATTTGGCACTATTCGGCCTTGATTGATCAATGATGCTTTCATGAATGAGTCAGTCTAAAACATGTCAGATCTAATGATGGTTTCTCCTACAAAGGGGACATAGGTTTGAATCCTGTCAGAAGATGCGTCTTCCTTTTTAAAAGGATTTATTGAATATTCAGACAAAAATAAATAAATATACTGTTTAAAAACAAAACAGAGCATCTACTCAAATATGGGTATCTACTAAAAATAATGTTTAAAGTGATAAAATATCTCCAATCTGCTCACCTGGTTACTCCCTCACACAAATCAGAGAACTCTAATGTTGCTGGTGGATAAAAAATTAAACAAAACATTGATAAAACATTATTTAGTACAGATGAAAATTGTTGGTGAATGAATGATTTCTCCCAATGAGATGAATAAAATATAGTAAATCAATTGCTAACCTGGTTACCCCCAAGATGATGGCAGTTACTGACACCAATGGGACCACCTCCCACACTTTGGCCGTGTGTGTCAATACATTGGGAAGTGTTTGTCAATCTAATCTGGAGAAAAAATAGAATGGGTAAGATAATTTTGCAATTGGTTTTCTGTTCAAAATAACAAAGGACACTCCCTGCAAATTTCTACAAAGATACCACCTGCAAAAAAAAATAAACAATGTGTCAAAAAGATGTTTTGATACCACTACTATTATATATTCCCTCAGCAATTTTTATTGTTTTAAAAGGCTATTTTTTAGAATTTTAATAAAACCCAATCATATTAAACTGAAATTATACATTTCTTTTTTGTTTGATAATGTTGAGATGTTGAGTGTTTCCCCGTGTGTGTATTGAAATAAGGACAAACACATACGTAGGGAAAAATACTGGTATATATGAAGAGGTATTTACAACAGAGAGATTAGTAGTCAAACGAACTCAGGTTAGTCAGTAACAATCAGAAAGAGTATAAAGTCCAACTGTATCTTCCGGTAGAGAGACGGAAGTGTGATGGTCACCTGATCTTCCCAGAACTCTATAGAACTGTCCTATTAGTAGTAGAGAGATCAGTCCATTCTGATGAGAAGGTGGGTGGCCCCAACAGATAACAAAATATTAAGCACTATTTATTCATTATTCACTGCATTGTTTATTTAGAAGAATAATTTTATATTTAAAAAATATTATAAGAATATGTGAAGCAATGACAATACAATATTTATTATTTACCATATTATAAAAAAATAACTATGAAAAGAATTTTTTTTATTCATAAATTTATAAAATGTCTCTGAACAAAAGGAGAATAAAATTTAAATAAAAACATCTCAATGAATTACTGTAAGTATAAATTTTGAAAAAAAAATCATTTTCCAGAAATTTTGCTATTGCAAATTCACTAAAATATGTTGAGAACTAAGAAAAAAATGTATAAATCTAGTTTCAAATATTTGAGTTTTACTGAGACAATAAAAAATTGCTGAAGACATACTGTGATATATTATGAGATAAACCATACTTTTGAAAAAACATTGGTGGGGGGGGCGAAGGGGGGGTTAAATTTGTTAAAATTTGTCAAAAACAAAAAAATAATTAAGATCTGTAACACAATCTTAACAAAATTAGATGTGCAGATGATACAGTGTTGGTAGCAGACACAGAAAGGAAACTACAAAAACTCTTACAAAAGGTAGTAAAAGAAAGTGAGAAGAAAAGCATATAATGAGGAAAGAGGGCTTAGAAAATTTGACACTCACAGAAAATATTAAAGCTGTTGCAGTATGTGTTTTAGCAGTGGCAAACAAGATTAACACCTGTAAACGATGGGTTGTCATTACTTACAAAGGTGAAAGGAAATGGAATAAATTGCAACAATGTAATACTTTCATGTGTTTTTATATAACTGCTAGCAGTAAAACCTGGCGTTGCTTGGGAGTAAACTTCCTCTAAATGGAAGGTCATAACTGCCATACTCATTTTGTACATGCATGTAAGGCTGAAGTCTAGTAGAACTGATGGCTGCCCACGTAAAAAACGTAATGTACACAAGTTGTCGGTATTCATCAGCACAACGGAAGAAAAAATTGTAAGGCTTAAAAGGAAGCAATGGACAGCCATGAGAGCATCAGCTGTTTGCTATTACTAAGACAACTCCAATTAAAAGTTGTCAAGTTCAGTACAAACACGGGCCTTAGGAAGTTTTTAGTGAGTTGTGGCAGACGGCTTTGTATTTCGATGGGATGTTTTTATTATCCCTGAGTGCAAGACATTACATGAAGCTCTGTGTCAGTTGCAACATAGTAAAAAGCAATAGCGTGAAAGGTAAATGTGTCTTTTGCCCAAAAGATGGCACTGCCACTTCCGCAAACAGAACCACATAACTTAAATCCGACTTTTTTCTAATTATGCTACCACTATTAATTCTGACATGAAAAGTGCCAATATCTGCTTGTGTGCAATGAACGCACATAATTACACACGCGTGTGTCCGATCGAAAATGAAAAATCGATAATATTGACTTAAATCAATTTTTGGCACTGTCAAAACCTCCGCAGGACCATTAGCAGTCAAATTTGGTTAAAATCGGTTGAAAAATGTAGGAGATCCGATCAAACATATAAACGAACACATACACATTCTGTCTTTTATATATAGATAGATTAACTGATTAACAAAAGAGAAAATATACTAGTATACATGTAAATATAGCTGAAAGAAAGAAGACATTACAATTTAGCAATTAGAAATTGTGTGTGTGCATGTATGAAGGTGTTCAGTTACTCAGTGAAAGAAAGATATCTATGCATTAAGAAGAAACTGAAAAAAATTAGAATTCAAAAATATGAATAGTTTAATAAACAAAAGGAATTAAATTATTTCAAAATGTTCCTTTTGTGAAACATGAAAGACAATGATACATCTTGGGTACTTCCAAATAAACAAATGTTCACTTTGAAAAAGTGCTAAGTATGAAATGGGATGTAAGTAGATAACTAAATAAAAAAATGCTATTCATACATATTCACACACACGCACACACACACTGTATCTAACATTATTAGCCATTTCATGTTTTATTGTGGCAAGGTGGGTGGTCACCCACCCATGCAGCATAAGTACATCCCTGAGGAAATAAGACAGTTAAATGTAGAAAAGGCTGGTTTTATGGTATAGCATGCAGTGAGGAATGTAAGAGAAGGTTTGATTGCATTTAATGAGCATTAGAATTTAATGTAAAAAAAGAACTAATTAAGAAAGTTAGTTTTGAGAGATTAGATAAGTTGAGAGGTTCTTAATTAATCAAAGTTGAACATTAACTTAGATAACTGAGTATGGCCTTATACTCACCTGCTGTACTTGACAAGTTGGGAAAATGGGGACAAATGATAAAAATTGATTTTTACTTTGATCAACTGTGTGTCTCTGAAAAACTTGAGATTAAGTTGTTTACATAAAGCCCTATCTATTAAGTTTGTGTAGGCTATTCAGCAGATTGGTTTGGTTTGTTTTATGGCATATCAATCGCAATGGGTTATTTAATGCCGACAAAATTTTTGTTGCTGGTAATATTTTTTCCTTCAAAAATCTATTTTTGGTAATATTTTTTCTTCAAAAATTTATTGCTGGTAATAATTTTTTTACAAAAAGTATTTCTGGTATTAAAACCTATTTTTACACTTTCATAGTGTTTTGACCCCAGTTTAGGGGTTAACTATTTACCCATAGCTGGGACCCCAACAGGTACTACCACCCTGGGCCAGGGTGGACCTGGGAACACCAGGAATTAAGAAGTGGTTCCAAGCTCCTCAAAACCTCCTGATCAGAGGCCTTGCTGTTGGACATAGCTTATCATCTTACCCAGAATGCAGATGTAGTTTATTCTGCAAAAAATTCTGTAAAACAAAAAAAAAAAACAAAAAAAAAACCCCTGTTCCAGCTAACCAACAGGCATCTTGGTTGCAATTGATATGGAATGTATATTTATTTTTGTAAAAAATCTACAAAAATTGTGGAGAAAGTGGAGAAAGTCTGGTCTTCACTGACTGTCCTAGTAATTCACAATCACAACCCATTCTTTCTTTACAATATACCCAATCACCACACATCTAAATCCTACATATACCACAATACCACATATTCACAGGTGACCCACAAAACACCCTATGACATAAAAATTCATAACTGTTCAAATATCTCTTTTTGTTTTCTTCAATTGGTATGGAATGATCACAAAAAAACCATCCCCTCCCCAAATTAATAGACAAATCATATGGATGCATGCTGGAATTTTTTCTTAACCAATAAAAAAATGAACCACATTTGCTGTCATCCACCATATTTTTATTTTTCTTGTCTTGAAGTCAGAATGCTACAATCACTTGACTGTATCCCTTTTGTATGTGAACAGGGAGGAGGCATGGTGGAGTAATGGATAGCGGCTTGGATTGAGGAATCGGAGAGCCGAGTTCAAATTCCAGTCGAATCCATTACATTCACTTACGTGCTAACACCCTTGGGAAAGGTGTGAATCCTCTTTCTTCTCCCTCCAGCTATGGGTAAATAGCAGGACAGACTGTGTTCTATAGCCTTGGATAGCAACTGGTCTAGGAGAAGGAAAACTCTGAATTCAAACCTGCTCTTAGAGGAGGGTGAATGGAGTCTCTCTGAGCCTTGGTTGGCAATCCATTAAAGTTGGTGTCACGATAAAAACACCCTTGATAGCCCTAGTGAAGCATCAAGAATTCAGCTATTTGACAAGATTATGAACTACACCAATCAAAGTACTGGTGAGTTCAATCTCGGCTGAGGCCGCAAGATGATGATGATGATTCTTACATTATCTGTCTACATTTCTGAGATGAGGTATTATGTACATTATTTACATTATTCGAACTATTGTCATCATCTTTGTCACCATAATTATTACAATGTTTCAGCTGTTGTACGCTTCGACCTTCTTCAGGTGGTTGGAATGTTGAACTTAACCCTTTATTTTGCTGACTGGTGTAGACTGTTCTAGTTCCACGTGCCATGTTTAATGGATGTCAATTATCAGTTATCTCCTATTAATTTTCCTCAAGGATACATGGCACAGTGGATAAAGGCATTGGTTAGATCCAGTGACAGGACCCAAAGAGTGTGAGTTCAATACCTGGTTAAGGCAGTGGAGAACTTTCAGAGGGAAATTAACAGGAGATAACTGATGTAATATGCCCTAGTCAACCAATGGGTTTATAAGGCGATCACACGCTGACCAGAAGATATATACATTACTAGCAGTAGAGCCCGGCGTTGCCCGGGGATATAACAGTAAGAGATAGATCAAGTATCCACCATCATAAAGACTGAAAAATAAAATTGACAAAGATTATTGTTTAAGGTTGACGGACACACATGTCTTAATTAGTTTTTTTTTTTGTTTTTTTTACGAATTGGTCAAACCCAAACTCAAACAAAAACATTGTTTTCAATCGTTATGAGTCTACCGATTGAATTTTATAAACAATTGTCTTGTAAATGGAATTTTTAAAGCATTCTGAATGTAAAAATAAAGAAAAAA